ATACCTTCTCTGAGCACACATCACAGCAAATTTGATGGGAAGGGATTCTTCATACCCAAGATTATTGACAAATACATGTCTGCTGTTACTGCTATACTTGTTGCTATTCTTTCTGCTATGGAAATCTCAAGTCTCACTCAGCTACATCTTAGACATAATACTTAATACAACAATCTTTCTGCACATCAAATAATGAAATTCAACCCCAGCAGCCTTTGGTAAAAGTTACAACTGCAACAAATACTTGCTTGTTCTCAAAAATATCAACATATATAAAGAAATTAAATCCCCCTTCTCTCTCTATCCCCAAAGCCTCTCTCTGTAATTTTGATTGCTGTCATGGACTTGAGGGCTGACCCTTGGAGGGCTGTTTTTTTATTAAGGGCAGTCATGTGTGACTGGATGGTTTTAACTAGAAAGAGCAGCCATCCATCCCTTCCTTGTGTGAGGCTGTGAGCACAAAAGAGCCTTGTGTTATTGCAGCTGAAATTTGTTTCTGCACAAAATGAGAATTCATTTTAGGGGTGAGCAATGATGGTAGTTGTCTTGGTCCTGGGGCAACAAGAAGGGAAGGCAGGGAGGAGGAATCTCAGCTGGTCTGGGCACCTGGAGGAGAGAGGCCTCCACCCAATGCCCATCCATCTTATCACCAGCTCTGACCAAACTCCTTGGGTGATGTCCTCCCTCCTACACCTGCATGGCAGACCCAGAGAGTCTGACTGCACGCCGCAGTCCTACCTTTCCCCTAAGCAAACAGTAAAGCACCAATTATGCAAATGCATAGGATGACTCACATGTTACTCACCTGTCCAAGAAGCTACAAGATGAGGGGGTCACCATTTGAATATGAGAAGCTTCAATAAATGTTTAGATGTTATGCTCTGGGACATGTTTAGTGGGGAAATTTTGGTAGTAGATGAACAGCTGGACTAGATCATCTTGGCGGTCTTCTCCAACCTTGGTGATTCTATGATTCATCCACACAGTGAAAGTGTGCCTTGTGTTGTACTGTGAAGCTTTTAGTATCCAGAAAAGCCTTTCATGAGGACCTGCAGATTGACAGTACCCACACAGCTCCAGAACTGCACGAGCATCGTCTGTCAGGAGACAGGGCTGAGTCACACAGCTCACAGCAGGCTATGTCTATACTGCAAGCACAACTGGTGTGATGGGAATACAGTGCAAACATCACTGGGCTAGCTTTAAATTAGTCAGCTCGGGCACTGATAGTAGTCTAGCCATGGAGCTCAGGCCAGCCTAACCCCTCAGCTATTTACCCAGCTTTTGGGGCATGTTTTCCAATCCACCTGCTGCAGCTGGATTGCTCACAGCTCCCAAGCCGGCTTGTTTAAACCCAGTTTGGGTATGTCTGTGACTGCAGTGTAGGCATATCTAAGCTTCTAAATCATTTAAACTCCTCCTGTTCTAATTTCCACATTTCTGAAAACTTGGAATTACAACACTGGGGTATACTGTTACTGTGCTGCTGAGATTAAACATTTGTTGTAGAAGAAGTATCAGCATACCGTTTTAAGTGTGATCTAGGTTTTTCCCAAGAAGTGTACCATGTTTAAGAAAAATAATGAATATTGCATAATGAATATGCAATGACCTCTCTCATTCATTCCAGAGCTAGTTTAAAGAGTACCAGATGTACAAGGTGAATATCCAACACCTCAGATACATACGCTGACTGCAGTGGACACTCTCCTTGTATAATGCCACTCACTGACTAGACAGTAATTTTGTAATATGGATCAACTCAGAATAAATGCCAGTGTAATACTTTTGTTGCTTGGGACCAGGAAACTGCTCAAAGTTCTTCCCATAACCTGTAGATGAATTAAGGATTGGAAAAATGCTCAATATTCTTAGTTTTACATTTTTAAAATGATTTTACAGAAGCACGATAAAACACTTTACCTTTAAAAGCCATAAATTTGTGTACAATTTAAGTCACATTCATCACAAAGGTAAGTTAGTGGATGCAAGGGTTCATTTCAACACGGCCAGATTTGATCCTCCAGTAAATATCAGGTCATCTTATACCTTTTAATCTAACGTTTTTAATAGTTTCTTTCTGACAAGGAGGCACACATTCCATTCCACTCAGTCCACGTACCTCCTCCTGTCTGACCATATCAGAAATCTGTATGTGCCATGTTCTCCCTGGCACTTCTGAGTGTGAATTGTACATTTCATAACAAGGGCTCATGCCATGTGCTACAAACCCAGGGAGAACAGCACAGCTTTCCTCTTTTCTGTCATCCCAAGGTCTTGCATGCCACTGCTCTTCAATCTGTTTTAAGAGAAGTCACTCAGCACATCAACATTTGAACTGCTGCTGGGACAACGGGCAGAGCAGAGATGGAGGAGGTGTGGTACTGGAAGACGTTAAGGGCTGCCATCAGCCAGTCCTTTGATCCAGAAACACTTCCAGACCTGGTTAAAACTGCTGGGTCTGTGAACCAGATGGTGGGGATTCTTCACATCCCAAGCTTCCCTCTCCCTGCTTCTTGATTCCCACTGAAAGCAATGAGATTATGTTCACTTCAGAATTTGGACAGCCTTTCCAATTTTTGGTTAAGTGTGAAAAGCAAGCAAAGGAAGACAACTGAGTGTGGACAAGTGTACAATCCTGCTTTGCACCACAAAAGCATCATTAACACCCTATTTCTCCTCGTTTGCTAACATTAATTCTAAGTGACTTCACAGAACACAGTAAAATTACACTGGATTAAATGTGGTTCAACTGAGGCCACCACAAGCTAGTAGTTAACAGGAAACACCAGTGACTTTACCAGGATGAGCAGCATGCTCACCACTGCCAAATATTTTGTCCTGTATCACAGTTCGACATCAAAACCACTCTGCCCCAACTTAAGAGTTGTAGCTAGTAGTGACATCTCTGCTAGTTCTCTAAATAAAACAATGCCAAATTGGGATTTGTGTTATGTTGAGTGCATTTACTGCTACAGCTCATTTTCACAGCCCTAACAAAATGCTTTGAGCCTGCACGTCTGTTCTAACACAACAATTTTGTTTATTTTATAGGCTTACAATAAAAAAAATCACACTTTATGAGCTACATGATAATATTTCAACAATACTTTGTTGTGACATGATGCAGTGTAATTATCCAGGAGATACTACAATGTATTGTTATGTCAGTGAGTCATACCCTTCAGGGCTTCAGATCAGTGCCTTGGTTTGCTTTTTAATGCCGTTCAGAGTAGCAAGCGAAGTCAAGGGACACATTGAGACATCCTAGAAATAAAGATGTAGACTGAACACGTGCTCTTACAGCACCATTGACTCAGTTAGCAATAATCAAGGAAAACAGAAATAACAACAACCCAAACGTGCACAGAGAGCCATGTTATGCTGGTGCCCTACTCAGGGCGTTAAGCACATAGACGGGTCTCAAGGAGCACCTACCAAGCGTGGCGGTCGCCCATTGCTTGATGCGTTAGGTGTCATTTATCAACGAAGAGAGGATGGGATTTTACATGGCACAACGCCTACATAACAATTTCATGCACAATACAGTGTGTTTGCGGCAGAACTTTCACCAGAGCGGAGCAGCAAGCCGAGATTACTTTTCTAAAATAGTTTTCCAAGGGAAGTCCACAGGTGGCTACGGCGACAAGCGGCCGCCGTTTCCTATCGGTACGGGCAGAAGCGCGCCCCGAGCGGCAAGCGCCGTGCTGGGACGAGTCTCGCTTCCACAAGTCCATCCGCGTACCGGAGCCCGCAGATCGCTTCCAGCTGCCAGGCGAACCGCAGCGGGGCCGAGCCGGGTGCTCTCCCGCGGGACACCGAACTCGGGGACCGTGCCGCCCGCGGGGCTGAGGCGGCACGGCCGGGCGCGACGGGCAGACTGCAGCCGTACGAAACACCCCGGCACGGGCCTCAAGCAGCCGGGCCGGGCGAATCGCCAAGCCGGGCGGAGGCGGGCCCACACCTCTGCCCCCCGCCCGGCCGCCGGTCCTCGCCTCGGCCCGGCCCTCCCCTCCCGTCGCGCCGAGGCGCGGCGCGGGCAAGCTCCACACCGCCCCGCTGCCTGTCCCAGCCCCCGCCGGCGGAGGCAGCTCGGCGGCAGCGCCCCAGAGCGAGCACCTCCCTTCCTGCCCCCCGGGCGCTGGGTGTTGCTGTTGTTTTGCCGCCGCAGGTCGGCCGGGGTGGGCGCGGAGGGAGGGAACGGGGTGCGCTGCGAGCCGGGTGCCAGGCGCACGCCTCTGCCTGACAGCCGGGCGGGGAACAGCAGCTGGCCGGGCAGGTTTGTCAGCGGGCGGCGGCCTCGCTCCCCTCCGCTCCCCTCCCCTCCACTCCCCGGGCTGCTGGGGATAATTAGTGTCTGCGCGGGGCCGTCTGCCCCCGGGAGGCAGGGCGGGCGGCGCGCAGTCAGTGCGTGCCCGGCTGTTTTGCTCGCTGACTCGCCTCGGCCGAGCCTCCACCCCGCGGGCGGGAGCCGCCCTCCCGCGCTCCCCTCCGTGACCCTCCCAGCGCTAACCCCGCCGGCCCAGGGAGCCTGGCAGGGCGAGAGGCGCCGCGTCATGTGACAGCGCGGCCCGGTGCCAGCAGCCCGGGGGGGAGGCGGGCGGAGGGCGGGAGGCAGGGCGGCGGCGGGCGGCTCCTCCTCGCACGCAGACCCGGAGCCACCGCGGAGGCGCCTCAGCCGCGGGACACGCCGGCACGGAGCCTCCGCAGCGCCCCCGGCCCCACCGCCCTGCGCCATCCCGGCCCTGCGGGAGCACCGCGTAAGTGCGAGGGCCGGGACGGGAGGGAGCTGCGGCGGCGGGATAGGCTGCGGGAGGGGAAAACTTTGCCGGCTCCGCGGTGCCCGGGGCGGGAGCCGGGAGAACGGAGCCGGGTGGAGCGCGGGGCCGGATTCGCTTGCCCCCCGCGGCTCCGGCGGCGTCTCCCGCGTGGCGGCGTGGCCGCTGCTCCGCGCACCTGCGCTGCCGCCGGGGGCGCCCGGGGACTCTGGACCCTTCCTCGGGGGTCCGGCCCGGCCCCTCGCGGCTCCCCCGGGGGTTCGGCCGCGGGAAGGGGGAACGGTGTCAGCGGATCTCAACGTGGCACGGCGTCGGGCGGCGCTGGGGTGAAAAGAACGGCGGGTTCTGCGTGTCCATCGGAGGGCGAGTGCTGCCCGGCGGCGGGGAACGCCGCTGCAGGAGCTCGCCGTTGGAAAGTGCTTAAGCGGGGACGATACGGGCTCTCGGAAATAGGTTTTCCCGCATATCGTCACCGAGCGTAGCACCACGTTGCAGCGAGGTCGGTGAAGTTCAACCACGCAGCGTCCAGGGAAGCGCCGCGGTTAAATATGGAATTAGAAATAACGACCGTAGTTCGGCTCCCTTTTCTGGACGTCGCTTTGTAAAGCCGAAAAGGGAGCGGGATATTTGCTTTGGAGCGGAGTCAGCGGCGGCCCGGGGACGCCAGGCGCGGGTACTGAGGCGGGCGCCCGAGGGCTGCGTGGGGCGCGCAGCGGAGCCGGGCCGCCTCGTGCTCGTGCCGCTGCCCGGCAGACGCGGTCAGGTACCTGCATTGTCCGCTCGCTGCGTTCGCTTCCCGGCCCCTGAAAGAGCAGGAAGTGGAGCTGAGCTCTGAGGGCTGTATTGTTACTAGAAGCTCCGTTTGGGTGGCGGGAGGAGAGCTTTGAAGACTTTATTTAAGCTAATAATATCCGTGAATGCTCGTTACCTGCATCCAAGACAAAGGATTACAGGGCTCCACGGTAATGACTTTTTCCACTGAGTGCTTTTAAGACGCGTGTTCTTGGTAATTGCATGAGGAACTCTGTGTGAGAGGAGCTCCATCTGGATCTGATAATCCTGCCTGACCCTGGAGAGTTACTTCGGACCAACCTTCGTATTTTTAAGAACTTTTTGTCTAATATAAAAATACAAAAACCTGAGTATGCTGACATGAGTGACCGCTTCTGTTTTTGTCCAAGCAAACAAATGCCTTTTTTTTTTTTTTTTTTTTTTTTCCTTCCCAGAATGCGCTGTGCAGACTGGGAGGGAGACTGGTGTCAAGGGCAGGGAGAAAAGATACTAAATGTGTTGCTTCCTTCCACGAGGAACCGGACAGAACTTCCTCAAAGTAGCAGAGCCCTGAGGGAGCCCTGAGGTGCTCTGGGGATGTGACCTGTGCAACCAGTGCCTGCATTGCCAACAGCAAAAGCCTTCAGACAAATAACCATGTAAATGTGAGCGAGATCAGACAAAGGTCCTGAGATGTTGGAGATAGGAGTTGCGCAATACAGGTGCTGCTTACAGTCCCAGATACTCGCCATGAAGAGGAGCTGGTAGATCAGCATGGAGCCGACAGCTGCTGGAGCTGCTGCTGTGACCCACCATGTAGTTTGCTGTGAGACAGTCTCACCGTGGATAGCATTAGGTGTCTCACCCATAGGGTACAAGCAACCAAAGCATGTCAGGGTCAGGGAAGATGGCACTGAAACCACAGCTTTGAAGGAAAACACACCTTGAAGTTGCCGTAATGGGCATCTGGACCAGATGTACCCTTGCTCTGCTTCCATCTTGAAGAATTCATTTGTCGAGCTGTGACAATAACAGTATTACCTCCACAGGTCACGAGGTGAGGTCTGTGTGAGACAGAGGGATGGGGAAGGCAAAATTCTGGAACAATTTGCTGAGCTGTGCCAGATGAAGGGAGCCAGGAGAAGCCCCTTAACAGTTGAAAGCAATGCCTGCAGGGTGTCTATGGTTCTGTCCGTAAGGGTCCATGCTTTGGATGGGGAGCTGGCTGCTGGGAACAACGAAGCTATGCTGGTGTTCAGCTACTGGTGATATGAGTCCAGCAATAAATCCATCAGCCCAGGGAAGGCTGCAGTTAATCATCGTCACCCATGGTGTCTGAAAATCTCCCACTCCTTCATGTTGTGCAGGGCGCCTGTTTGTCAATAGGGCAGGTCCCCTGCATAAGGACAGTGTTTTTCTTCACACCCAATGAACAAACACCTCCACCCACTGTTGTTGTTTTAAAAGACTCCAGCTGCTCATGAATATAGGGTCAGGGAGGGCCGCCTAAATGTTTCTGTGTGCTTTCTCCCCAGTGCAGCCAGCAGAGCTGTTTCCTGTTCTTTGTTTCAAGGCTGGGGTTTGCGTCACACATTCCAAGTGGCATATGTGGTGCTCTTTCCTGTTTCGAGCTGTTTTCTGGTGGATTGGTGGCCTCGTCCAGGCCCCTCTCCGCTGCCCCTCAACTCCCTATCCCCACCCAGTGAGTTATCATATCCCTACACACACAGTTGCTTAAGATGCCTGCATTATGTCACCATGAGATTTCCAAGTTAACCTTTAACATGCACCCGCGAATCCTAGTATGTTTATGGGGGTGACCTGAAGCGCCCGCTCCCTCTGCTGAGAGCCAGTTTTCTCCTCTAGCTTGTGATGCCAGCTGGGCTGGAATCGCTCCATTAAAGCCACGGAGTTCGGTTGGTGTGAGAAAAGAGCCCACATCTGCAAAGTCATCTTTCAGAGGGAGCCTTGGCTGCCGCCCTCAGCCAACCTGGATGGCCCGCTGCGAGCACTTTGCAGTTCAGTTCTTGAAAGAAATACACTCTATCCATACTGGAAGATTTTCTGTCTCACAGATGTAATGCAGGAAATGAGAGTGCTGGCTTTTCTTTGGAATAAGCAGGTATAGCTGTTCTACGTTTGATGTTTCCATAGGTGCAAAAATGATTTTTCAGTCTTGTTTTTATTAGTTGACTTCTCCCCATGCCGATATAGAAAAACATCAAGAGGAAATGCAGAAAGAGAATGTAAATGTTTCTCTTGCCTTGGGTCTGACTGCTGAGGAGCTGAAGGATCCAAGCCAAAGCTTATTGAAATCAGGAGAAAGGCTTGCATCAAAATCAGTGGGCTTTGAATCAGGCCCTGGATGAAAATGTAGGGCGGGCTGTTTATTTCTCTGTCTCTTACACGCTGGGATATGCATGTTTCCAGTACACACTGTAATATTCCAACTCTCCTATTTCATTAAAAAAAAAAACCACGTTTTTTAAAGTAGCCTTTTAGTATCTGACATTGCTCTTTTGGATGCTAAGAAGTAATTGTGATCATTGTGTGTTTTAAATCTTAAGAAGTATTTGAAATACATGCTGTAAACTTCCTCTCTTGGGGCTTAATTATAGGGGGAAAAAAATTACAAAATTATATGCACATCCTTATTTTAGTTTTCTTTTTTTTTTTTTTTTTTTCTTTTTGTCTGTTCAGAACCCCAGATTGCAAGAAGCATTTGTCCACACAGTTTTGGTAAGTTTTTTTATTGATTATTTTCATTTGTTACTGTCACTTATTTTTACTTAATTAATTTACTTAATTTGCATAGGATTTCAAACATTGACTCTTTTTTCCCTTGACAAAGGAAAAAGATTGCAGTTTGATATTGGAAACTAGCATATAGTGAAAACAGTAAATGTTGTGGTTTGCACCTTTTTGTTGCTAGAAGTTTTACAAAATCCAGGAAAAATTAAAATTATAGTAGTTTTGTAAACCAACTTCTTAATATTAATGAGTACTGCCAACAGGAGGTCTTCTAAAGTTCCTTTATACTGTCAGCAGTGGAGCTTTGTGTTTTCATTCCAAGGCTAGTTGCTTCCAATCCAGAATATGAAGTTTGGCAGGGCTGGCTTGAGGAGAGATTTAACCCTTCCCTATTAAGGATTCAGTTGATGCTGAGCCTTCCTTTGAGGGCCCTGTAACTATAGTGGGTAGTTCCCAAGGGAAAAAAGTGCAAGTGTACATCAGCCAAATGGAAAGATAAAGCTCTGGTAGGCTTTTAATAGTACACTAAGTCAGAGTAAAATAATAACAACAAAAAAAAAGTGGGTGGCCTGCCTATCATGCAGTCAGTATACTATCAACAAATACAATCCGTGAAGGCATGTTCAAGAGTCCAAGCTTCTTTGATCACATTTGTACCCACCGCACTCTCCAGCTCTTCTCCCTGTTGTTTTTATTTCACTTCTGGAGATACGCAGAAGTTCATTGAAGTTTGCCCTGTATTCAAACCCTCATTCAAATTAATCATTTAAATTATTTTTCATAAATATACACTTATTTAGGATTAAATTTTTTTTTCTTCTAAAAATCTCATGTTTCATGAAACAGTAGTATCCTTCATGTTAGAGAACAGTATTTTCTATCATTCTTCACCCTTATTATGAAAAGTTTGGATTTGTATTTGTCCTTTAAAATGATCCTTGAAATTAACCTTTTAAGAAAAACATAATAAAAAAGTTCGGTTTGGAAGAGAAAGATTTTCATACCATTCCACATAGTTCACTTGTTTTCAGAAGTCTGATCCTTTATAGTCACTAGGCTATTTCTCGTTCTAAGCAGTAGCCTGAGACAGGAAACCAGACAGCAGTCCGCCCCGATAAGGGAGAACATTGTCTAATGGAGGTGCCTTGAGATCTTTCTCACTCCCTTGGATTCAGTAGATGTAGAACTGAAGGTCTATCAGGGTTCCATTTTTTCCTTGATAGAAACGAGGTAATTTTAGTGAGCACTGCAAGAACTTATTTTGCCCATTTTTTTTTTACATTTAAGAAATCCATTTCCAGACACGTGGCTTCAAAGAGCCTGCAAGTGTTGCAAATTTAATTGAAATACTGATTACTCTGCTACACAGCTGATAAATGAACACGTCAAAGCAATTCTAGGTCAGTGTGATGTCAGCAAAGCTGGACTGCGAGAGCTGCTCAAAGTTGCAGATTTTTCAGTGTAGAACACAGATGATTTTAACACCAATAAAAAGCCAAAATAGTCTGAAATGCTCTTCAGTGTTAAATGAACAAATAAAATTTGCTGTTACATAAAAGAAGAAAATCTAATTGTTAATTTTTAAAAACAAATTATTCTGATTAAAATAATTGAGGCATCTAGTTTAAAGGCATATTAATCTTAGAGTGAAGTAGGTTGGAAGCACTAGAATGCTATGTATCAGTTCATGGCATTTTTGGAGAGGTTTATGTTTATTTTTAGATGGCACAACTTAATGAAATCTAAACAGAATATTACTGTTGATCCTAGTGTCTCTTTCATGCCTAACAAGTAAAACATTCAGTAGAAAATTTTTATCTAGGTACCTCTTTCATCTCACACAGTATACTGGCTTTTCCAGCAGTTACCATTTCCCAGAGGAAATTCAGTGAATAAGCAAACCCAGGGAACTGCCCATCAGTAAAACATTTCCTTGGTGTGCTAGTTTCTCATGAATTCCCCCCAGCTGTTCCTCGAGGGCCAGCTGTGCTGCTCCCTTCCCCCTGCACTGTTACTGAGCCTTTGTGCCTTTCTGTTTTGGGCTGGATCTGACTGCTCTGCTCTGCTCTGCTGTGCAGTGCTGGGGAGGTTCTTGGCCTGCTGCTATTTTGAGGCCCAGCACAGTTCAGCGCTTGGTTAATTCCCATTAAAGTTAATGGAACTACAGGTATACTTTCTTTTTTGTTGACTCAAGTCTTGATGTGCAACTGGTGCTGTCAGTGCAAACAGAATTGTAGACTAACTTCAGCTGGAAGGGTCTCTGAGAGGTCATTGCGTCCAACTTGTGGCTCCACAAAGGGCCACCCAAAACTCAAACCAAATTTCTGAGTGCAAATCTTTTTACTAGGTCTGGAAAACACTTTTTCTACCTTTTCCAGGTAATTTGCTCTCAGATGCTGTGTTTTTTCTCTGTCGAACTATCTTCCAGATTGGAGGGGTTTTCACCCCGCTTCAGGAAACCTCCCCTCCCTTTCATCATTTGAGGCCCTTCTGCTGTTGTCACTTCTCCTTAATAGCAGGGGAAGTTTAACTTGGGGCTCACAGAAGGCACAGAGTTAAGTCCTAAAGGGCCTGCACCAAAGAGCTGTGTGCACCAGGGATACCAGCTGTGCTGAAAAAGCTGCAGTGTCTTCAGGGAAGGCACTCATTTAGCAGTAATTCGGCAGATAATATTACATTATTCTGTAATTACACCTACAATAACAGTAGTACCTTGATGCTTCTAGACAAAGCCTTGCTGTACCACAAGACAGCATTCCTTCTTCCCCAGGCAGAAGGATTGAGAAATCAAACTCCACGTGTAGTTCTTACACAGAGTGAAGAGAGGCAAAAGTTCTGGTCACCGCTCCGCTGTCAGCAGCAGTAGTATCCATCAGGTCACTGACTGCTCTTCTAGGTATTTTGTGAGAGCAAATGCTCTGTGCCACAGAGGATTTGTAGTGCAGTGTCACAACTGGCCTCACTCCACTGTTTCCTTTCACAGCAGATCTGCAGGAGCTGGTGGATCTTGGAGGCAGATGTGCAGCAGCAGTTTGTAGCTCTGGCAGCTGTTGTGCAGTGCAGATATGAAGGCTGGGTGCTCTTTTGAGCTACTTGGCTCTTCTTGTCCACAGTAAATAATCTGTATGAATCTTCACTAACTTTAAGTTCTCATTCACTCCTAATGATATCTCTGAAACGATAAACCTTAGCAATTGAGAAGTTAATACCAAAAAGTGCCCAGTCCAGACAGGGATGTGAACTGTCCTGATGATGAACTTCCTTTATGGAAGGAATACTTTGATGCATACTGGATCATAAAGGAAGAGTCTGTGTTTTTTCTGGCTGGCTGTTAACTCTGGAAAGTACTGAGGGTCTTTGCCTGGATTTTACCTTGCACCTGTCCTCATTTGCATACAAGACCCAATTGCTTCATTTGTCTTTCTGAGGTACAGGGTGTGAGCAAAATCTTATCAGAAGCCATGTCCTGTTTGGACAAGTAGGGCTGACTTGGCAGAGATCCACAGGGTGGAGTGAATGGGAGGAGGCAAGAAAGTAAAACTGGGTGGCTTGTTAGCAGAAAAAGAGAAGGAGAGCAAAAAAAGAGAGGGTGGAATGTTTGCCTACCAGATTGCAGTTAATTATTTAGTTTCAGATTACATGCATTTTAAATTCAACCCATGTGAAAATACCCTATTAATGTAAAATAATTTATCTAATACGTGAATGTCAAGAACCCTTATTTTTTAATGTATTTAATATGAACCTATTGGTGTTTCCTTATTCTTTTTTTTTTTTTTTTTTTTTTCAGGGATGAAACAAGGGATAGGTAGTATTTTGAATTTCCAGAAGTTGGCTTTATTAACTAAACATTTTGTGGGCTTTCAAACAAATAGGTTATGAAAACAGTGTATAAAGTAGAACCCAACTGTTTTTCCTCTGCAACAGAAACAGTCAAGACTGTTTACTTTCTCCAATGCTCCCTTCTCAACTGTTTAGGGATAGAGACTGGAAGGTTTTGATTTAATAGGCATGATTTTACAAATAGACTAAGAAAAACTATTGATGCTTGGTACTTGAGGGAACATGCTGTATCTGTGTGTGTATGAGTGTATACATTACATGCACATGCTTCCTTGTGAATGTAGTCCAAGCAATTGATTTTGAGCATTATTTTAAAATGCAGAAATAATTGGTTCATGAGTTATTTGCAGTCTTGGGCAAGTGTCACTGTGAGCTATGTTGTAAATGAGAGACTCAAAGCTGATTTATATTAACTTTTCAGCTGCTCTATCAATTACCACAAAATAAGCATCAGACTTACTAATCTCGACAAAGAAGACCAAGAGTTATATGTTCATGGATTTTTCCTTTCTTGAAAATTGGTTTCTGCTTACTAACAAATGGGAAGGAAAACCAACTTCTTATAAGGGTAAAATGTGATAAAGGAGTATTCAATTTCTGGACTGTGATGCAGCAATAGAAATAATCTTTTCCTCTACCCTTCTTAGATGACTACATCAGAGAAAGATTGAGAATTATTTTCCACTTTCACTGAGTGCAGTGCACTTTCTGTTGCCAGCATCACTGTAATTCTTGCACAGTAATTTAGAGCCCTCTCAAGAAACACTCAGTAGCATGAAGTGAAGTAAATGTCTTTGTGCGCTGTCTTGAAGTAAAAGGAGAAAAGGATTAACTCTCTAAGTTGAAGAAAATCCAATATTAAAAAAGAATAGCCTGGGAGCATCAGAGCATGACTGCTTACTTAGAACCAACTAACCTTTTTGTTCTTACTTTTCTTTCATGTACTTACTCGTTCTCTTTTGTTCATTTATTTTTTGCTTCCTCCCTCTCTTCCTGAAGTACAAATTGTTTTGTCACTGTTTAAACAGAAAACTGAAAGTTTTGCTGTAAACTTTCCTTATCTCTATAAGTATCACTTTTTAATGTTTTCACGATGCTTATGTATGTGTGTGTAGGTGTGAGTGCTGCATGGGTATGCATGAGTTCTATCTGTGAAATATTAAGTACCTGGAAAGGGTAACCATTCAATGGAAACTAGGACAGTTGACAACCTCGCAAGCAAGATTAAAGAGTTTACAAAGTTATCACAACTTTTAGCAAATAGAGCCATTTTACACAACTACAGTCTAGGTTTAAACTGGAAATTGCATTGAGCTGCTGTTTTGAGCTGTAGTTTGGTTCTGTTGGACCTTTGTCTCTTGTAAGAAAATTCGTGAAGATGCTTTTATTTACATTTGACCCTGATTTGTTTATATTATTAAAAAAGTACACTGTTGTAATATTTTTCTAAATGCCTTCAACTTTTACTCATACACTGGATAATTAATTATAGACTTGCAACAGTTCATGCCATCTTTCTCTGGAAGCAGTTACCAATTTCTTACCTATAAACACAAGTAATGGTTAATTGCAAGACCGGTCATTAGTGTAGACTTGTTAGAATGGTTTTAATTTGAAGCAGGAACACCTTAGCATTTTATTTAAATTTCTGGGAAAATTTTCCAGCCCAAACTCCCAATCTGTTGTCTGGCCTTTAACCTACTTCCTTGGGGTGAAATTGGATGAGGCTGTCTGGCTGTATTCGTTTATTTCCAGTGCCATCTACTGGTCGAAAGTAAATTTGTGTAAGATTTTTATCCTCAACATCTTAGAGAGAATCAGAGCACTTCCTTGCAGGGCAGTGCAGAACTTGCTGCTATAATGTCAGTTGTGGAACTAGTATGTAAAAGCTTGCCAACATCTGAATGTCTCTGAGAACAACATAGCTTTGCTTCTCTTGGTTTTACTCTGTATCCTTTGTGGTCCATTACAGAAGAGGTGTCTCCTCCTTTCCTGCATGGTGTCTTTCCAAGCTGACCATGAAAGATGTGTAACCTGGTAGTTACGTGGTGATATGCTGTGTGCTAAATGCTTCTTTTTCAGGCAGTTTGAGATAAAGTAGAATTGGAAAAGTGATGTTGAACACACTGTAGGAAAAAACCAACAACCAAAACTGCAGAGAGTGCAACCAGCGATTGTTGAATTGTCAGTAAATTTATTATTGTAGGAAAATAACGTAGATATTAAGTATGAGTTAAGTCAAATTAAGTCATTGCAGCATTTGGAATGTATGTCTCCAAATTAGTTCTGATGTATGAAGATTTTGGCTTTTCTGTCAGGACTCTCAGGAAAGAGATCTGCTTCAGAATCAGTTCACTATGTTACTAACTGTACAAGATTATTCTGAAGCTATAATGATGATGGGAAATCCATTGTATAAACCGTGATGCATTTATTACATTGACAAATAATGAAAGATGAGAATGAAACTTGATATGCTGACATGAACAAGAAAATTTCACATTAACTTTCATTAATGTGAGCAGATGTCCCTTTTTTTTAATGGCAGCTGGGAAAGAATAAACCTAACAGAAATATTTTTAATGAAGCTTTGTCAGATATTTAAGAAGTTACGCTAGAGATTAATGAATGCAGATGTTTATCTGGCAAAACATTAAGTTGTCTCCAATTCAGAAAGCTGAAGTGAGTCTTTCCTGCAGCTTTCTAACACATTGTCTTTCCTTTGTAGGACAGGACATCACAGGCATCAGAAGAGGTGAATAAAGAAGATGCTAATGTTTGATCCAGTCCCTATCAAGCAAGAAGCCATGGACCCCATTTCAGTGGTAAGACTTTTAAGATATTCTAGCCATTATAATGATTCTATAGTTTTTCCATCTGTACAATTAAACCAGGATTTTTCTAGGCTTTGTACTACCCTACAAAAAACTGTAAAACTGTATTTTGGTTTTAGGTCAACTGGGTTCACATTTCTGCTATGCTTCATGAATCTATTGCCCCTAAATGACCTCTGCCTTTACTTCTGCTGATGTTCCCATCCACAGAGCAAAGGAGAGAACATCCAAGAACTCCTCACCCACACAGTGCTAATGTAATCACTTCAGGTCATGCTGTTGATGGAAGTGGATGGAAATTAAGCTGCCAGACTTCAGAGTGAATTGGAAAGAGCCTGTGGTGTCAGTGTTACACCTTTGAACTAAATGAGCAGCTTCTCACCATCCCCTTCTCTGTTTCTCTTCCGGTCTTGACCACACATGCCAGGGAGTAACTCAGTGCTTTAACCAACAGAAAAATCCTTACCATTAAAAAAAAAAAAAGCTTTTTTCCTGGATAAACTGGATTAATTCTCTCTCTTGCCATGTGATCAGATGAGAAACAGAGCAGTGGAGGAGAAATTGGGGAAAATAAAGGGAGGCCTGGCTTTTTTGTTGTAATTTTCCATTGGCTTGCTGTATTGCACCAGCTCAGCATAAAAAAAAAAGAGCAGGAGGAAAGCATAGCTGAGAAGGGACACAGGGAACTGTGGTGATTGAATGGTTAGAATTGCTAACCCACCAAAGATATCCTTCTTTTGGTCAAATCAGGTTCACTCTATGGCTGCTCAGTGCTAGAGTGAGGACAGAGAGGAGGGAATAGGACCTATCCTTTCATCAGCAGCCTGCAATAAGATCAGATTAAGTGTGATATGAAGCTGCACCTTAGCAAGGCTGATCGATTAACAGTGAGAAGTCAGTATACATAAATTAGCGTGCGTTAAATTCATGCTCTAAGTGGCATCTCTCAGTATATGGTTTGCTTACTTTTTATGTAAAATGTAGAATAATCGCCACCACATTGAGTGCATCTGGGAGCACTCTTAATTTCTTTGTCGCTGCTAATGACACTTACTGAGAGTTAAATTTATATGCATTTTAAATTTCAAGTTTGACCTTCATGGGATTTATTTACTTTTAAGCAATGATAGACAAATAGTTGGCCTATTGGGTGTGAACGTATTGACAAATTCCAAATATTTGGGTCAAGGAAGAGCCTTAGTATTGACCAGTTGATCTGTGACTGGGATCACACAGTTATTGCATGTCCTTGTTCAGATCAGTGATGATTCTCTGTTATTATCTAAGGATGTTCTGTGGCATTTGTCAGAGGCAGAAAGTGGGCCACTTCTGCAATAAAAGTGTTAATAAATAAGTGACAGTATCCTTAGAGATACCTTGTGCTGTTCTTTCGTACACATCTGCCTTCATTTCACAGCAGAGGTTCTGCAGTGGCCACTGTTTTACCAAATATGTATACCTTCCTCTTAGTTACTGCATAATGCTAGAATGCATAATGCAAAATGAAAGTAGGAAAACAAGGATCGTGAAACTTACCTGAAACAAAAGGAAGTTGTTTGAGTGTGGGTTCCCTCATGCAGATCATTCAGTTCTTCCTCAGTCTGAGGGGTGTTTGTTTCAACTTCTGTAGGCTCACAGGCTGCTGAGCCACAAGCCCTTGAGGCCCTTCTGGCTTCCCTGGTGCTGTTCAGTTGCGCAGCTTCCTCTGAACCTTGCAGCCCAGCAGAAACTGCTCTGGAAGCACCTTTAAAGGTGAGGCAGGGAGAAAACATAGGACAGGCATTCCCAAGAATGTGAGTGTTGTTGAACATCATTTGAGGTGGTAGAAAGGAAGACAAACTGTTACAGCAGTGGTGGTTTTGTTTCTGGAACACAGGGTTTACTGTGGGTTGATATAACCTGTAGATTTAAAATCAGGATATATTTTTATTCTGTCTGTCATTCTGATAGTATCGTTAGAGGTCAAACTCAATGAAACCTTTTGTGAATTATTGAATATTTTACCCGAACATACACTGTCTGTGGCTATAAAAGCTGCCTTTAAAGAATCCCATTAGTTGGGGTGGGAGAGGGAAACAAATTACAGCTTTGGCACCACTGTATTTCAGGGCGTGTGGCTGAAAGGATTAACTATGCTTCTCAAATGGCTGAAGCTTGCACCCACACTGTTTCATCACTCTACCAACAGCCTGTACTGCTTATTGAATTGAATTACCAAGCAGATTTTATGATAGTTCTTAAAGAAATAGTGGCAGTTATCCGAATCGTACCTAAATGTTTTCTGTGAGGACTTTTTAAGCATTTGGATAAGTACCAGTAATTGTTTAGAGAAAGGAGTCACTTTTTGTGTATAAACATCTTTGAATTGAAAAACAGGATTTTTCTTCATCAGTCGAAAAAACCACATTTCATTCCTTTTTAAGGCAAAGTGCTATGTGCAGCATGAGGGACAGGTCTTACGGTAATGCGTGTTACTTAGCTAGTCCACTAGTGTGCTTTTTCATGTATTAGCTACTATTTGGATTAGACCCTGTTTTTCCTCTTCTATGGTACCAATTTGACAACTTGTGTAAGGGTGTAAGCAGGTTCTTCATCTGTTCTGGTTTTGAAAGAGCCTAGCAAGATGCAGTTCAATTCATAAGGGTATGTAGTTGGTAAAACATAGGATTTGTTATCCTATACAATGTTTCAATAGTATAGGCAGTTTAATAAGAGTTTAGCAAACTCTGTTAGGCTAGTGCTTCATAATGTCTCTTTATGGAAGCAGCAGTCTTCTGGGGAGTGATGAGTGCTTTCGTTGTGTTCAGCTGATCTTTTTTTTTCTGAATAGATTGTCAAGAGCAACTTGACTTCTCTTTTTGGAACTGCTAACTTGATTGTATGAACATAAGGATATTTTTGAACAACAATTCAAGAATATTAGGAATTGCTGTAACTTATGTTGCAGTTTCTTTGTGAGTTGAGTTGAACAAACAGCAACAATAGGGAAATGAACTGCTTAGTGAGGTCCAAGAGGGAAAGTGATCATAGCAAACATCAAAAAGACCTATATAGAGACTGTAAAGGAATACTCCTTGAATTACTACTCTTAATAGTAGCTTAATAGTGAGCTGCAGTAGTAATATACAATTCTTTGCAGAGACTTTCAATAACAGCAGAATTTATTGAGAAGTGAGAATTTGTTGGGTATTCTTAATCCAAGTCATGCTGAAGGACAAACGCTCTTAATTACAGTAGAAATCCAAGGAAAATGTGTTAAATATATCAGCTTAAATATTTTGTGCAGACTGAGCAATAATACCTAGTTTTACATTGTTCCACAAGAATAATTCCCGTGGGTACTAAGTGTTTCATATTTTCAATATAAGATACTTTGTGCTGTTGCAGATTTGGTCAGGATCTGATCAGGAAGGTGAGCTCAGTGGTGGTGAGTGATGAACACAACACACCAGGCAGTGCTCATGGGTGGAGAGAAACAGAAGTCTCTTTCCCTTCTCTCCCCCTTCCTGCCTTTCTTAAATGCTTTAGGACATTCCTACAAAGTCTGATTAAGACAGGGTTAACTGTTCTCCTTGCTGTGTAATTGTCACTTGATCTGCTGACTTCAGCAGTGCTGTCTGTGCAGCTTTAGCCAGGCAGGTTCTGCTCTGGGCTGTGGTTAAACAGAGTCATTCATTACAGCTTTTACATTCATCCAGAACAAGCTGTGGTCCCAGGGGGAAGTTCTAGGATTGGTGAGAAAAGACTGCTCTTGCTGTGCATTAAATACACTCCTGGTTACTGCAGTCGGTGACATTTAGAAAACAACGCAGTTGTCGTCAGGCTTTTCTTGTTTGCTGTTGTCAAAGCTCCCAGTTTACAGAGGGAAACTGAAATCTTTCTTAATCTCCCATCCCATATCCCCAGAGGGGTTTACTTCCCTGGCTAAGAAAGTGACCAACCAAATCTGAACAAATCTAAAGGCAATTGCTGAGTCCCAAGGAGATGGAAGCTGGAGCTTTGCTTTGCTAGAAGATGCATGAAGCTTAACTTTAAGGCCAGCGAGAAGATGGATCTGAGTGTGACCTACCACAAACTAACAGTATTTCAAGTATGCTTCATAGTTGAAAGTGCAAAAGTGCATTCCAAGTAGGCTGTGATTGACAACAGAAGTACCACTTTTGGTTGTTCACGTGCTCTTTTTGTCTTTTTCACCTTTTCTGTAGTCAGCACCATTTTTGTATGCAGCACATACACGTACTGTAAATAATTATGTGAACAAATCAATTCAGTAAATTCTTATTTGTTTTTTTTTGTTCTTGGATGTACAGGAGACATCTTTCTGCTTCTTTAGTTTATGACAATCTTTACAACAGCAGTAATAAAGTAATATTGTAATAACAACAATATTTTTTATAATAATAACAAAAATAATTTGTTGCACCACATTTTTCTATCACAACTTTATCTGCTCTTTGGGTAGAAGCATGATATGACGGTTAAAACCTCTGCAGAAGAAAAGTTTAGAAAAATGATTCAGCTTCCCCAAACTGCCATAAGAAATAGCTGATGTTAAGTCTGTGCCAGATTAATGACAACAATGGAAACTTCCTATGGAAAATAATGCAAGGCATGCAGGATAATGCCAAGTCCCTAAAATAGTCCCTTTTAAAATATAGTTATCTTCTCCCCAATTCTTCGAAAGTATTTCTTGCTCGTGTAAATGTATTTTACTTAACCTTTCCAGTTTACAGGTCTCTGCACAATACTTTAACGGTTTGTTAGCTTTTCAACAGACGTTTAGTGTTAAAAAACTGAAAGAGGTTGACTGGTTGACCAGTAAGGTTACAGCTTGGAAATGCTTTGTTCTTTAATCCGTTCAGTGACCAGAAACATTCCTGAAGATTTAGACGACACAGTCTTTTTCCTTTCTAGTATTCCTGAAGCTGTAGGGTTCAGAGGAGTGCACTTGTGCAAGATCTGTAAGGCTCCATTGTGAATGAATTCATGCGTGCTGTGGTACACAGAGCTCTGTAAGTCACAGGAGTTTGTTATTTTCAGGCAGCTGTTACTGAAATATAAGAGCACTTCAGTGGAATGAAAGTGCACATTCACCTGAATGTGGACATGCTTTGTAAAACAAAGTAAATTTTCCTATGTGATCATCTTTGACAAACTTGCAGAACTGTAAATACACTGATGTACCGTGGTTCAAAACTTACACAGCTCACTGAAGCAGAGTAGACTCTGAACTGTGGACCAACAGCCGTAATTTTAACAGAATTATTTTATCCGTTTAGAGTGGTATTTTTTGCCTGTGCTCATAACTTGATCAGTAGTTGGTTGACACTAAATATTATCAAGTTTTAATCCCTATCAGTATTCTGTGGTCTTCATCTTTTAGAATTCAAATAAATTCAGTGTTGCTTGACACAGTAGTGGTGGCATACCCTCAGAGCTTGTTTTATCCATCATTGTGTGCAGTAATGGCATTTTTATAGAATTCTGCAGAGCCAGTTACCATGAAAGATGAACACATACATGAATTGAATTTGTAAGTCATAAAAAGATGAATTAAATTAAGTTTCAACATTTTGATGTAGTATGTACTGTTTGAAGATCAATTTATTTGTGCTGTTTTATTTGAAAATAGTGTTAGTTACAGGTATTTTGTGGAATCAGTTTTGTTGATTCTCTTCACAATACATGAATATAGCAGGAAAAAATAATGTTTTCTGAACTCACTGTTTCAAAAAACAACTGGAAAGAAAAAAACACATTGGTGTCATTTTGCAGTAATACCTGTGGTTAACATTGACAGTTACAATCAGATAAATGTCCTTTACAAGGGAAACAGAGGCAAACTGAGAGGCGTACTGCTAGAAGTTTTCTCTCTAAGAAGAAATGTTTTGAAAAGTTACCTAAATGTTTGTGTAGATACATGGTGATTTTATACCATCTGTTTTTTCACATTATTTAGTAAACAACCACAGTTTTAAACACTTTTAAAATGTAAAGTTGATCTGGATAGTTGTTTAATAATACTGTATTCTGCAATGAATGTTAATACCTTGCGGTTTGCAAAAACTATTTTTACTGAAATGTGGAGATTATTATGCAGGTTAGGATTAGTTTTGGATTCTAAATGCTCCCGTGAAGAGAACTGCTGACTTCCATAAGCAGCAGGAATAGTACATCAAAAGCAGTATTGTGGGGAGGAGAAAGTTGTTGAATAAGCTTTGATGATCTGTTTTCATCATCCGCGTTGCTTCTGAAACAGTGACTTTGTATGTGAGTAGCTTCCTTTGAGTGAAATCTGATGTTTTATTTCATTCACTTTTGTTTAGAAAATATATTGAAATGCTTTCTGAAAACCTTCATCTTGCCTCAGTTTATTAGCCATTGTTCTTTTTCAGCAGTAATTTTATGCATGTTGGTTCATTATTTGTTTTTCTTTATTTTTCTCTGCTTTTTCTGACAGTCATACCCATCCAATTACATGGACCAAATGAAGCCAAACAAATACAGCGTCATTTATTCTGCACCAAGCATGTTGCACAATAAATTCTACTCAAACCCTGACAGACTGTCGAATGGAATCCAGATGGAGCCAGTAGACCTTACGGTGAACAAGCGAAGCTCACCGCCTTCGGCTGGCAGTTCTCCTTCACCTTTAAAATTTCAGACTGTGCATAGGAGAACTTCCCCTGGATTGACTCTGTCCTCACCCAGCTCTCCCATCAGTAAATTCACACCGTCACCCCCAGGAGTACAGCCGTTATCCATGCCTATAACAATCCCTCCTGTAATGGCTGCTGCTCTTTCCCGCCACGGACTGAGAAGCCCTGGGATACTCCCAGTCATTCAGCCTGTTGTTGTCCAGCCAGTTCCTTTCATGTATGCTCCCCATCTCCAGCAGCCCATCATGGTATCTACAGTCCTTACAGATGAAATGGAAAGTCCAAGCAGCATGCAAGGTTGGTGCTGTCAGAGTTGTGTTTTTTGTCCTCTCGTACTGGGAAAATGACTATATATCCATTTTCTAAAATACACTAATTATACACGTATAATTCACTATGTAAATATTTCATGAAACTTAGCAGGGTTGCATTCAGTTGCACTTTAAACGTGCGTAAAAGTTGTTTGTCATGGTAGATCTACTGAGATTTGAACTGATGAAAAAGTGAATTGAAATTCTTTTCATCATAGTTCATCAGGACACAAATACAAAACCTTCCAGTTTTAGTATTAACTACAGATTCTTAGGTGTATCTTTTATTTATGTGGCTCTTCATGTTTTTGATACGTTGTCTTCCATCTCTAACCTTCCCCCACACAGTGCCTGTTATTGAGTCCTTCGAGAAGCCTGCTCTGAAGAAAGCAATTAAAGTAGAACCGGGAAGCGAACCAGCAAAGACTGACTTCTATCCTGAACGAATGTCACCTCCAATGACCTCATTGTCTCCCCAGGAAGTAATGCTGCAAGAGTAAGTAATTTAACAGTAGTTCCTAAATCAGCAAAGTAACGAAATGCAGTTCAGTGCAATATTTAACTAATTTTAAGGAACGAGATAGAAAGTTGCTGTGCTTATAATAAAATCCAGAAAAACTTTCTCCCCGTTGTGAGATGCAGTTTCAGCTTTTGTTCTCTTTCATCATACATAGATGTGTATTTCTACGTAGCAACCACATTTCTAAAGTAATGTTGGTTCCAATCCTACAATTCACTGGATGTAGAACTGCAATAAGCTAGTGATATCTTTATGTAAAACCAGCAACAAACTAGAAAAATATTTCAAAAACATTTAATATTGACCTCAATATTTATACTATCTAGAATACCCTTCCTTAAAAATACTCCTGTGACTTTCTTGGTGGACCTCTTCATCTTCTAAAAAATGTTAGAATCACAGAATCATAGAATCACAAGGTTGGAAACAACCTATAAGATCATCTAGTCCAACCGTCTCCTCATCACCATTGCCACCACAAGCACTAAACCACATCACGCAGCACGTCATCCAGACGCCTCTTGAATACTGCCGGGGATGGGACTCCACCACCTCCCTGGCAGCCATTCCAGTGCCTGACCATTCTCTGAGAGAAGAAGTTCTTCCTTATGTCCAACTTAAACCTCCTCTGATACAACTTGCAGCCATTTCCCCATGTCCTGCTCGTTGCCTGGGAGAAGAGGCCAAATCCCTCTTCACCACAACCTCCCTTCAGGAGGTTGTAGATTGCAGTGAGGTCTCCCCTGAGCCTCCTCTTCTCCAGACTGAACAATCCCAGCTCCCTCAGCCGCTCCTCATAAGACTTGTGCTCCAGACCCCTCACCAGTTTCGTTGCCCTTCTCTGCACACGCTCCAGGGCCTCAATGTCTTTCCTGTAGTGAGGAGCCCAAAACTGAACGCAGTACTCGAGGTGCGGCCTCACCAGTGCTGAGTAGAGGGGGATGATCACCTCCCTGCTCCTGCTGGCCACACCATTTCTAATGCAGGCCAGGATGCCGTTGTACCTCTTGGCCACCTGGGCACACTGTTGGCTCATGTTCAGCTGAGCATCAACCAACACCCCCAGGTCCTTCTCTTCTTCACACTCATCCAGCCACTCATCCCCAATCCTATAACGCTGCATGGGGTTGTTGTGCCCAAAGTGCAGGACCTGGCAGTTGGCCTTGTTGATCCTCATCCCATTCACCTCAGCCCAGCGATCCAGCCTGTCTAAATCCCTCTGAAGGGCCTCCCTGCCCTCAGGCAGATCAACACCACCTCCCAGCTTGGTGTCATCTGCAAACTTACTGAGAGTGCACTCAATCCCCTCATCTAGGTCATCAATAAAGTTATTAAACAAGATGGGCCCCAGTACCGACCTCTGGGGGACACCACTCGTAACGGGTCACCAGCTGGACTTAACTCCATTAACCAATAACCGCTGGGCACAGCCCTCTAGCCAGTTCCTTACCCAAAGAAGGGTGTACCTATCCAGGCCACAGGCAGCCAGTTTCCCCAGAAGAAGCCTGTGAGGGACTTTGTCAAAGGCTTTGCTGAAGTCTAGGTTGACTATATCAACAGCCCTTCCCTCATCTATCAAACTAATCACCCAGTCATAGAAGGAGATGAGGTTGGTCAAGCACCACCTGCTTTTCATGAATCCGTGCTGGCTGGGCCTGATCCCCTGGACACCACGCACGTGCCGTGCAATCTCATCCAAGATGATTTGCTCCATAACTTTCCCTGATAGCGAGGTCAGGCTAACAGGCCTATAGTTCCCCGGATCCTCCTTATGGCCCTTCTTGAGATGGGGGTCAACATCAGCAAGCCTCCAATCCTCTGGGACCTCATCAGTTAACCAGGAGCACTGATAGATGGCTGAGAGGGGCTTAGCAATCACCCCTGCCAGCTCCCTGGACTTGTGACAGTCCAAATGGAGGAGAAGCTCTGTAACTGTCTCCACCTGAGTCGCTGGGGGCATATTCTGAGCAGCGTCCCAGACTTGCAGATCAGGGCATAAAAAGCCCAGAGTATAACTGATCTGGCTATTAAAGGCAGATGTAAAGAAGGCATTGAGGACCTCAGCCCTCTTCTTGTCCTCAGTGGCCACATTCCCTGCTGCATCAAGTGTAGGATGAGAATTATCTTCGATTCTTCTTTTGCCGTTAATATATTTAGAAAAGGATTTTTTTTTGTCTTTTAATGCAGTGGCCAACCTGAGTTCAAGTTGGGCTTTCACCTTCCTAACTTCCTCCTTGCATACCTTAGCTACTTCTTCGTAATCTCCCCAAGTAGCCTGTCCCTTCTTCCAGAGGATGTAGACTCTTTTTCTGCCTGAGTCTCAGCAGTAGTTCCAGGCTCATCCACACTGGTTGTCTTCCCCTACGGCTTGCCTTACGGCACTCAGGGACAGCCTGTTCTTGTGCCTTTAAGATTTCCGTTTTGAGGAGCGTCCAGGCTTCCTGGGCCTCTTCACCCTTGAGAAGTAACTCCCAAGGGAAGACAGAGTCCTTATGTTGTAGTGACTTCCGTTGTTTCCCAGCAGTCTGCAGAGCTGCAGTTCTTGCTCAGCTCTTTCAAGTTCAAATTCTGCAGCATCTACAACAGTTGTAGCTTTTAGCTTTTTATTATTTAAAAAAATAGACAAATCATTCAAGTTGGCAATTCAGTGGAAAGAAAACCCTCAGGTGTACAAGTTCTTTGTCTATCCACTGAAGTTCCTTGCTTACCTGAGGCCAGTGTTTTGGGATTCACAGTTTAAGTAGTTCCTAAAGGTCTCTCTCTTCCTCCTCAGCCACTTGTTTCCAGGCAAGTACTGAGATCACTGCAGATCTGTCCAGGTTTAAAACAGTAGAAGGCAGAGCAGGGGCTAGGCAGAAGAAATGAGGTCTGGGAAGAAACTTTTTGATGTTGATGGAAAGATTCTTAGGCAGTACCTGATGGACCATGGCTATGCTTCCATCTACTGTTTCCCTTTGGAGAATTATGCCAGCTTACCAAAATCATGGAACTGCCCAAGTCCTGGCTCACCTTTCAGCAGGCATTGCTCTGGGCTTGCACGCTGTCTACTGGTGTGGCATTTTGTGTGCAGTGAACTGGTTGCCAGCTAGCTTTTGTAGACAGTATGCTGTTTATTTAGAAGTAAGCTTGTTTGTTCTATTACAAGAAAACTGTAAATATCCATGTTTACCAGATGGATACTTAACTTCCCTAAGAGCTTTCCACTCACAGCAGCCAGGTCTGTCTGTACTTGGACCTAACTTCTGCAGGGTTAGGGCAACCAAACTCTGTGCTTCACCTTTGTCTCTTGTTAGGCCTCTGTTCCTGGCTTACAACACACCCTTCCTCTTGGGCTGAGACTTCTGTAGACTTGTCACCTGCATTAGTGATTTACATTAATTATTTCCCTGTGAGACCAGTTTCCACAGGAAATCCATCCGCTGAGCAAAGAGTATAACATTCAACAAGAAGTATAAGAAGCATTGGTACATTGTCTGTTATGTTGTTCCTAAGCATCTTCTCTGCTTGACCATGCAGGAGCATTCTGTTTATGGAGACACAGTCCTTATGTTGCAATGACTTCCATTGTTTCCCAGCAGTCTGCAGAGCTGCAGTTCTTGCTCAGCTCTTTCAAGTTCAAATTCTGCAGTATCTACAGCAGTTGTAGCTTTTAGCTTTTTATTATTTAAAAAAATAGACAAATCATTCAAGTTAAAAGATGAGACTTAAACGTCTGTAAAATTTCCTGTTGTCTCACAGCATCATCGGCCGCTCTCTGCATTATGAGGTCTAATTACACAATTTCTTATCATTTTTCTTGGATTCCAGCTGTCCAAAGTATGCTATTTAGACAGAGAGAGGTTATATTAAAGAGACTTAGGAGTCTCTCAGTTTCATTTTTAAGTAACTGATTTTACATTAACTTTGGTTTTAGGCTGATGAATTACGTACATAATTTTGCTGGCATTTCTGTAGATATTTCAAGACTTGCCAGCACATCTGATAAGTGAAGTAACTGTACAATTGTTTCCAATATCAAATTTAAAGTAAAAAAATCTGTCAAGTGTAAGAAGCCTGATTAGTTCTATTTTCTTGCAAGCATAAGTGTTGAAGTCTAACTTACACTTCCAGTGCACTGTGATCTGTTGGTAAAGAAAAAAAAATCTTGCTAAAATCGTGAAATGATTTTTGGAAGGTAACTGTTAAATAATGATGCTTACCTGATGAGAATTGCATGGATTTCTATCTTGCATAAGAAGAAATTGAAGAAGGGGCTGTGATTTATTATTGACAAGTTGTTTAGTTTTTACCTCTGATTTCTGACACTATTTAAACCATTTTTTGAAGTGCCCCTCCCCCACATCTGAATATTGTTAACATTCTGTAGTCTTGGCTGCCTCCTTTCCTCCAAAGGGAAAATGAGACAGAGACGGATATTCACCATTTTATTTATGTACTCTTAGGTCATGAACACAAACAACATACAGTCAGTGCCTTTTGCTCCATTTTTCCAGCTGTTACCATGTCCAAAACCAAGCCTACTTGCTATGCTAAGTCAGATACTATCCAGAAAGACGGGTGTGCAGTTGCATTAAAACTGAGCACTGCTTTAGAGAAGCTTGTCATTAGAAGCTCAAAACCTGCCTTTCTCATTGAAGAGTGTGTACATCCGTGTCTAAAATCATCGCCCGGGGTTTCCTGCCATTGCAGTATTTTTAGCTAGATTTATTGTGTACTTGAAGAGTATGTCAATCAGCAGTAGCAGAAACACCCATGGAGCAGAATTTGGATCCCAGTCTGAAGCTGGTAGCTGTAATAACAGAAGAATACCGGAGTGAAACTTATCTCACATCAGTAATTTCCACCTTGCTACTGTGGAGATTAATAGAAATTAATCTCCTACTTTTCTAGTTCAATTATGCACAAAATTTTCTTTGCTGTGCCTGATGTCTGTTTTACATTTTACCAAAGGACCTGTACATGCCTGTAGCTTTGCTATGAGAAGCAGTCATGCAGCGTTTCTGAAAAACAAGCCCTAGAAGAACTTGGTTGAAGTATCAAAGACTCCTCAGATAGTGATTTTTAATATAAATCAGTTGGCAAAGAAATTTGAAACACCGTCACAGAGAAAGGAGTGGAAGCGTAGAAAGCTTCTCTCCATCAGATGGAGGAGCTGGTCTTACCGCAAGGAGCACAAATATCTGCATTTTATGTATTAAACTTCAGCTACAGGCTAAAAAATACATCACAGGTATCAATCTGGATCTGGTGATTGGCTGGAAAATGCAGCTTTGTGAGGTTGCAGGACTTGTAATGCTGCTTGCAGTTCTGTCACCTCCTTTTCTAGCATTAAGATTGAAGAAGTAATCAAGGTTTGCCCAATTCTGCAGTCAGCTTGTTAAAATATCAGTAGTTTATGAGTATTACATCTTTTAGGATGTGTTTTTGGAGGCACAAATGTTTATACTTCGTTTTTTATAGAGGTCTGTAGGCCCTCGCCCCATGTCTTACCTGCCTTGTACCTGTGGGCTTCAAAGAGAAAAGTGATGTTTATGAAGGTGGAGATCTAACTTCAGACATCCTGTGGGTGTGTCACCCAGGCTAAACTCTGCTTTTAGGAATTGACGTCAGTGGTGCAGGGAGGCCGCACCCTCCTGCCAGCACCAAACAGGAAATTCTTAATTACTCTGTAAAGGAGTGGCTGGAACAATAAAGATTGAGTTCTGCTTTGAAAGCCTGGAGATACAATTCCTTTAATCATATGGAGTAGCTGTTTCCAATTACAGGCCAATTAGCTGCCTTTTAAGGCAGAAGAAGAACTGCAAATAAATAAACAGAAATTCACTGTGAACTCATAGATTAAAAACCCTGGGTTTTTCTGAAAGCCTGGATTTCGAGAGGTTTTTTCCTTTCTAAGTTTAAAAAAAAGCTAGTAGAAATGGCTACATTGTGCCACAATGTAAGTGAATATTTACAGATATTACTGCTAGAACGCATGAAATTTGTTGAAGCCTCTTGAATTTTTCGACATGCCTGTAATGCTGTTCTTTTTGCCAAGAGACAGCATAGTAGTGAATGTGGGACTCTGTGATGGATCATAGTAACTGAGGTTTGCTGTGCTGAATGTTTCTCATTTTTAACATTGAACAGGAATCACCCTTCGGTTATAGTTCAGCCAGGGAAGAGACCTTTGCCAGTGGAGTCGCCAGACACGCAAAGAAAACGCAGAATACATCGGTGCGATTATGAAGGCTGCAACAAGGTCTACACTAAAAGCTCCCATCTGAAGGCTCACAGAAGAACCCATACAGGTTTGAGCCTGCTATGTTTTTCTTTCATCAAGTCTCTGGTAAAACGGTAGATTATGATTTTAATTCATATTATTTACCAGGTATAAAAAACAAAAAACAGTTTTGGCAGTATTCTGAATATAGTTACAGGCTGAGCAAAAGAGGGAATGAAGCAGGAAAAAGCCATAAGAAGAGACTGTAAGCTAATGCAAGATCATTCTGTATGCTTTACATTCACTGGCTCTTTGCTCATTTTCTGTCCAATTGCTTGCAGATTACTCATGCTGCACACCCTGTAAGCACCAAATCAGTTCACATTACACTGCCACACCTCTTACATCACTGTTAAATTTGACTGAGACTTCCACAGGAGTAGCCAGTTTGCAAAAGTCTGGACTGTGTGCCGAATACATACAGACCTGGTTCATGTGGGCATGCTAACCACGGTCTAGTAGAGCTCTTTTCTGAGTGGATGTTATCCCCACCTCAGCTCTCCACAGAGAGATTTATCGTGGAACACTGATGGCATGTATTAATGTATGTACAGCCAAGATTTTTGCAAACCTGAGAGATGCTTTTAGGTGAGATTAGGCAGTTCATGTCTATCTTACATCTCTACACAAGCCAAACCTTTACCTATTTGGCTGCACAACGCTGTGAAATAGAATGAGAATCCAATATTAGGAAAGAGTTATTAAGAAAGATTTTAAGTTGAGCTATCTGTGGCAGAGATACCAGTTAATACATACTTTGGTAATTGTAAGAGGTAACTATGAGATGGTAACCATGAGATTTCTGCCAGCTGTGCTGATTGACAACACCAATCCTTTCCCCCACTAATCTACCACAAGAGGTCCTGGTTTTGAAAATACTCAAACAAATGCTTAAGCCTTCACTCTTCTAGGCTTAGTGAGGAAAAACAAGCGCTAATACAACAGACAAAAACAAGAGTAGGTTGTGGCAGGAAATAATTCTTGTATCTGTTAACATTGCACAGTGCAGAACACTCTGCCAGCCTGTTGCTGGTGGAAGGCTTTTCGAGTAAGCTTAAAACTACATGATGAAACTTGACAGGGCAAGAGGATAAACCTGTGAAGTAACTGATGTATTTGTATCTTAAAGCCTGTTTCTCTGTTTCTTTCTTCAGGTGAAAAACCATACAAATGCACTTGGGAGGGATGCACGTGGAAGTTTGCTCGTTCTGATGAACTAACGCGGCATTTCCGCAAGCATACGGGAATCAAACCTTTTCAGTGCCCAGACTGTGACCGTAGCTTTTCACGCTCGGACCATCTTACTCTTCACAGAAAACGTCACATGCTAGTCTGAGTGTCTTCTGCCCCCGACTCCTGTCAACATTTTTTTTTTTACACATGCATTTTAATTCGAGTTCAGCTGGTCTGAATCTCTGTAGTTTATACCATTAAAAGCTTACGTATGGTCAGTACTAGATGTTATCTAAACCTATGTCCTTGCCACGGGTCAGACCTAAAGAATGTGAACAATTGTTTTGTTCTGTTTTGTTTTTCTTTCTCCTGGGGATGCTAAGCAAACCCTTTCTTCAGAGAGTGTGTTTAATGTATTCCATTGTGAATAAGGGAATTTGTAAACAAACAGCTTTTGTTGGTTTCTTCATATAGTCAACCCCCACTGTATACTGATAAACTAGTAGATGTTATTGAATATCCAAAATGCTCATCCTTGGCAGAGACATTGTTTATGTGCCCTGTGCAAGGCATACTCTCATTTTATGCTCAGCAATGCAATGAATGGACTTCCTCAACCTTGCTGATTTCTGCAGTATAATTAATACAACAGTTTTAGAAAGACACCTGATTTAGAAATCCCCTCTGCCCAAACAGTGGGTAACACTGTAGAAGTAAATCTAAGCAATATACTTTACAGAAAGATTGAGTCACAGTATCACCTCTGTCGAGAAGAAAAATTAGGAGAAACTGGTCTGTACATAACACTGTGCATCTAAACCAATGCCATCTGTCCTTTGTATTATAGCATAGTATTCAACCATGTTTTTATTGCATACTGCCCTGGTGGATTTGTTAAATGAAGATCTTGTGTGACACTGTATGTCTGTTTTCTGTGCAACTGAGTGGATGGAACATACATGGTACTCTCCTATAACATGGCATTAAAAGATATTCATAGAAACCTTCCACACCTCATTCCAGGCTTATAGACTGTCCCTCTGTAACCATTCCCTTATGTTTCCTCTAAATAATTTTTTTCTCCTTACTGTACCTCAGAAAATAGAAATCATCATGTCAGAAACGCTCCAATGTATTGTTGCAAGTGCCACTTTAATACACTACAAAATACTACGTATTTTGAAATATTAATATTTTAATCACAAAATGGCATCAAATATGAAGCACTTCTGTGATAAACTGAGTCACGTATCTGGTTAAAAGTATGTGCCAGATCATCCATTTGACAGCTCTGATCTGTGGCTCTGGTATTCTCGCAGTGCTCAGTAGATGGAGCTTCCCTTGTGGATGCATCTATCGCATTAAAACGTGTCACCAACTCCCATGTCAGTAGTAAACACAACTTAATTGCTCAAATACAAGCAAGCTGAATTCAGACAACCAGCTGCTCTTAGCAATGTTCCAGTACTTGGAACTTCTCCACAGGAGGGAGGGTTTCTCTCTATTAGCTGTCAGGTTCTGTGGTACTAAAAAGAAACAGGATCTGTTTGTCTAGACTTGAGCAACTGTTGAGTGTTTGTTCTTCACCCTGTGTGAGGTGAACATAATTGTGTGCCATATAAACTTGGTAAAAATCAGATCTTCCTTTGTCTTGGAAAGCCCCACTGGAAAACAGGGCCGTGGGGAGGAGGTTTGCAGAGTCCTCCAGGAGGAGTCAGGTTGGAGGTCCATCCTCAGGTGGGTACCTCAGGACCTGTGGAGAGCAACGCTGGGCTGTGGGGAGTCCAAGAGCAGCAGGCTGAAATCATCTGCAGGTGCACAGCTGGAACGTGAGGAGCCTTCCACATTTGCTTCCTTGATGGTGGGGTTTCCAGCTCACCTTGGGTACCCATGAGTGGAGAGAGAGGAGATCTGTTCTTAGAGAAAAATGTTCATAGTGATTGCTGTAAAATGCAAACTATTGCTCAAATTGTGTAGCAAATCTTACATATGTGAATATGAAACTGTCAAGTTTATTTAAGGAACATCTGTGCTCTGCAAAGGGCAGAATGGGGATTACATAGCTAAGGCCGTTCTGCACCTTTTATAGAGAAAATCTTTAGGCTCTTTATGTTGCCATGCATCCTCAGGACCTGGGGCTCAACTGATCCATTCAGAACCGAAAAACTTCAAAAACCAATTGGTCCCTTTCTGTCTGACTACTCGGTTACTAACACTGATGAACATGCAGGAAAGAGATTGCTGTTAATGAGCAACTGGTTTAAAATTGTGCTTTATCATTGGATTTTTATCTTTTATTTTTGGAGTGAGCAATGTCACAGGGAGTCAGACTTAGCTTCACTTGCAAGACTCCAGGTAGTGATGGTGGTTCATTGACATTGAGCTGTCACTGGCAGAGGGCAATGTGGAACTGCTATAGCATCAAATACAAGCATACAGCTATGTGGTGTCCTGGGATAAAAACAATTCTCAGCCTGTTCAAGGGCGCAGAAAGAGGTGAGATCCTATTGACCCACAAGTGGGTCAAGGACAACGGATCCCATGTTTAGCTTAACAGATTGAAATGCCTGGGATTTAGGATGATAAAGCAGCATTTCTTTCCAATACTCTTCTTTCAAGGTTTCCACATTTATTTTTTAATAGAAATCTAAAATACCATAGAGGCGTCCTTTAATTTGCCTATGTACCTTTTTCTTGAAAATATTTATGGTAATGGTGCAGATGAAGACAGCAGAGATGCAATAGAACTTTTAAGTGTCTTTAGCTATGTGCCTTGTGATTTAGGACACCAGAAATTTAAATATTAAATATAAATATTTCAGACTGTTTCAGGTAAATGCTTTGTAGGATTTCTCACTTGGTCTGTGGGTGTCTCTGTGGAATGTCAAAGAAGCCACCTGTACACAGGCTTTCATCTTTCAGCTGAAAACGCGCGTTTACATCTTCTGTGGCTCGTTGACTCATTCAGCAAATTTTGGTTTGAGGGCTGTTGTGAAATTTTTTAAACCACACGACTAAATACTTTCAATAAAACAGCCTATTCCATGTATGGCTTAAAGAGAGGCCTGTTTAGATAACAAGGCAGACTAATCCTGCAAGAGGTGATCATCTTAAAAAAAAAAATCACTAGCAGTGCTGCACCGTGCAGTGAGTAGTAATAAATGATACTGCTCCTGCTTCATCCTTTTGTTATAATGTTTTACTGGGTTCTGTGACAATCCCAAAAAGCTCAGCTTTTGGGTGTTATGGTGTGGTTTTATTTAAACATAACTGCCATTCTGCAGCAATATTTCTAATGCCACATCTTGTCCAAATGCATTGTTGTCTCTGCTGAGGTTAGCTATGTGTAGAAGAATATAAATCCATTTTACAAATCCAAGTAGGGCTACACCAGTTTTCATTACATTTTACAGATACTAGCACTTTTACGCTATTTATGTACTTCAAATGTTAGAGGGTCAAAATAATCTTTTCGCTTAGCATCTCTCACCTGCAAATATAGCAGGGATGTTATATTTACTTCAATACGTGTATAAACTATGCAGATTTTTTTTTTTTTAAGAAAATGTAATATATTTTATAAGCTAATAAGATTGAATGGGTAATTAAAGGTTTCTAGCGTGCGTTACTATAACTTGCAAATATGGAAACATTTTGGTAATCTTTCTTACTAAAGATGTGAATGTTTAATATACTTTTACTGTTTCTACTTTGGTAGCCAATGGGAATTCAGTAATGACATTTTGTCATGTTGAACTGTGAACAGAAATTTGTACTGTACAGTCCTCATACTATATTTAGTACAAAATACATATCTATGATAACTGTTAATAAAGCCATCAGAATATTATTTGCGGTCGTGTCGTCATCTACAATGAGAACACGTGTAATGTTCAGTAAAGATGCTAGGGAAAATTGATACTGAATATAAATAACACAACCCTCACCCTTAAAGAAGAAAAAAATAGTACTGTATAAGTCTGTAAAATGTGTTTAAAAACATTAATCCCTAATCCAATGAACTTGCAATTAGGAAGTTTAGAGTTCAGCACAAGACAGTGTAATAAAGCACCAGTTAAGAGGGGGCTGTAAAAAAGAAGGGAACAGACTCTTTAGTGTGGTCTGCTGTGACAGGACAAGGGGAAATGGTTTTGAAACAAAGGGAGATGTGGATTGTAGAGGTGTGAAAGAGGGGAAAGGGAGGGAGGGAGGAGGGAAGGAAGGGAGCTAGGGAGGAAGGAAGGGAGGGAGGGAGGGAGGGAGGGAGGGAGGGAGGGAGGGAGGGAGGGAGGGAGGGAGGGAGGAAGGGAGGAAGGACGGAAGGGAGGAAGGATGGAAGGGAGGAAGGAAGGCAGGCAGGAAGGCAGGAAGGCAGGAAGGCAGGAAGGCAGGAAGGCAGGAAGGCAGGAAGGAAGGAAGGAAGGAAGGAAGGAAGGAAGGAAGGAAGGAAGGAAGGAAGGAAGGAAGGAAGGATCCTCAGCAATACTTCAGATCTCTAATATGTTCCTTGCCATTCACCATGCATTCTGGTGGTGGTGCTGAAACAAAACACTGCAGGTGACAGCTGAGTATGCTAGTCCATATGGAGACCATGTGCCATTTGTTTTACTGGCTGGAGATGAAGAGATTCTGTCATACAACTGGAGAACCCTTGCCCTAGTTGATGCAATGGCAGTATATACAGCTGTACAGACAGGACAACAACTATGACTCTGAAGTAAGCTAATGAAGGCTTTCTTCTACACAAATTTCATATTTGTTTGGCAAGTTTCTGCTATTTCTGCCTACAGATGCTTTGGGTTTTGTACCAATAAGCTGGGAAAATCCTAAGCACTAAGTACAAAATATGCCAGAGCTTAAAGGATCTGAAGAAGTTCACAAAAGAAGAATAAACTAAACCTGTTAATGTTAAGCCACATTTCAGGAAAGGTTAAATATCAACCCAGCCTGGGCCACCATGTAGCCAGCCTTCCCCTGGAGGCTATGAGAGGACAGGCCAGACGATGCCATGAGTGGATTCTAACTCTCTGGCAAGTCTGAAGTTATTTTGGCACCGTGTCTTTTTAGAGACTCCAGTGGATGCTAAACGACAGCTAGAAGCTCTGACTCATCCTTGTAATGATCCAACAAGCCATGAGACACCAAGCTCACACCCTCTAGCAAACATTACTGTAAGCGACCAGATCGAGGCTGATGGATGCTAAACAAATTTATAGCTGTAGTTGTCTCTATAGAAATAGATATTTTCCAAGAAACTGGGGATTTTTAAGAGAACTACTCAGCTTTCTCTGAAGTTATGTAGGTTTCTGTCAAACCAGGTACTTGTCCCTCTCTAACTGTTACCATGTCTGTTACCCTCAACCTTCTCTTGTCAGTCCTTTCAATTGTTTATATTTTACCATAGAAAGATTAAAAAAAAAAAAAAAAAGGAGGGTGGGGAGCAGGAGGGGAGAGAGAACTCATTATCAGAAGGAATGTTTACCCAAAAGTACAGAAAGGGATTTATCATCCCTGTAAACTGTAGCAATTAGGTAATGCAAAATAAGTTCTTGTCAACAGGATCAGATAATCAAGGGGTATGTTGTCACAGAGAAGTGTGGGGAAATGATGATTTGAGAGCTTTGACACCTTGTCTGACGTTTGGCCAGAGCCAGGGAGAGTTCATGGTCTGCTCTAAACTCCTAAACCTGGTGAGGGAGATTACAAGATCAGTAATGCCCAAAATAGAACTGTAGAAAATAAATCTTTGGACAACTTTCAGTCAAACTGCATACTTCCTGAAGAAGTATATTATGCCTATACTTTTATATTTAAAAGCATTTTATTAGAAACAAAGATTCATTGTACACATTTTAACAATTCCTTTCCACTCTTGCTGAAGTTTTCGTTTTTTTTTTTTCCAGGATATTGGTGTATTGTAGAGTGAGTGCAAATGCAGTGTTGGTGAAGTACAGAATTGAAAGCAGGGATAGCAGAAATGAGGCAAGAAAATAAAACCTTGAGAAAACAGTCAGCTTGTGTATCTTCATGCTCCCCTTGAAAATAAAGACAGCTCATTGTAAAGCAGCCTAGTGCTCATATTGTAGACTTACAGAATCACAGAATGGATTGGTTTGAAGGGACTTTAGAGACCATCCAGTTCCAAACTCCTGGAGCCTTCTCTTCGCTAGGTTGACCATTGACAATCTTTCAGCCTTTCTTCGCAGGAGAGGAGTCCCAGCCCAACAGATCACGTATGTCAGTGAAGCAGTACACACTGCCTGCAGCCCACTCAGGAGGAGCAAAGTAGAGCAGGGGACTGGCCCACAGCCACTGAACCAGCACAAGATCAGCAAAGCAGGATAGGCACCTCCTGACTCAGAGTTTCTGTTATGTGCCACACACACCTCAAAGGGCCCCTGAGTCTGCTGGACTAATTCAATTATTTGTTTTAGATTTTTTTTTTTTTGGGGGGGGGGTTGGGGATGGGGGGAGGAGAAAGATATATACTCTTAACACAAAGAGGAAAAATATGTTGTATGTATTTTAGCGTGAGTGATCATTTTCGGGAAATGTTTCATGATAACTCAATCGGCCGCTGGGTGTCACCCTTTATCTGAGAAAAATAGCAAATTTAAGCTGACAAGACTCATAGGATCGCTTGGGCTGGAAGGGACCCCAAGGATTATCGAGTTTCAGCACTCTTGCTGCATGCCACGCCACCAACCTCCAGATGTGGTACAAGATCAGGCTCCCAGGGCCCCATCCAACCATGTCCTCAACACCTCCAGGGACAGGGCATCCACAGCCTCTCTGGGCTGCCTGTTCCATCATTCTCATAGTAAAGAACTTTCTCCCTATGTAAAATCTAAACCTTCCCTCCTTGAACTTAAAACCATTCCCCCTTGTCCTATCACTATCTACCCTTGTGAAAAGTTGATTCCCCTTCTGTTTATAATCCCCTTTTAAATACTGGAAGGCTGCAGTGAGGTCTCCCCACATCCTTCTCTTCTCCCAGTGTAGCAGAAACATTAAGTCACTGCTTCAAACAGTGATTGAGCACCTGGTAGGAAGGCAGGATGCAGTGCACCTGGTGAATGGAAACGATGGAGCCAGAATCCCCCCCTTCCCAGATCTCATTTAAGGTTGGCAGTGAGGTAAAGGCCTCTTGCTGGTGAACTGCATACCTGAGGTCTTCTGAAGGTAAGCTGATATTTTTTTTTCCTGTGACCATAGCTATTTTATTGGAGCAAGTTCTTGTTGGAGCCTAGAACCTTGCTATTCTGCAGTCATTGCTTTATGTTGTTGTGTTGCATCAGGCTAGACAAGCCCAGCTCCCTCAGTCTGTCTACATAGGAGAAGTGTTCTAGCTCTCTGATCATCTTTGTGGCCTTTCCCTGGACACCCTCCATGTCTTTCCTGTACTGGGGGGTCCTAGACCTGAATGCAGTACTGTAGATGGAGAATCATGAGGGCAAAGTAGAGAGTGACAATTGCCTCCCAGTCTCTGCTGGCCACTTCTCTTATGATGGAGCCTATGTTACAATTGGCCTTCCAAGCTGAAAGAGCATGCTACTGTTTCATGTTTAGTTTTTCATCCTCTAGGACTCCCAGGTCCTTCTTTCAAGGAGTTCTTCCAGTATACATATCTGGGACTGCTCCAGCCCAAGTGCAAAACCTTCCATTTTGTTAAGTTGAACCTCATCAGGTTCACATGAGCCCACTTTTCAAGTTTGTCAAGGGCCTTCTGGAATGCACTTTAAGAAAATATTTCTTCACTCACAATTAAGAAACAAAGTTCTTACTTCTGTCTTATTTTCTGTCAGAGTCTGATCTCATGACATGCAGAAATATGTGGAAGGTTTCAAGATGGATTTTGTGCTTTTCAGGCATGAAAATGCATTCAACACACCCTTTAAAGTTAAAATTCTGGTCTGTCCAAACATTAACAAAATCAGTACAAGACGTTGTTCTCATATATGCTTTCAGTCCTGTGATTTCAGTGAGGGAAGTTCTTGAAAACAGTTTTATAAATACAGATATTACTATGGCTGTTTTTCAACATTTCAACCAACTATTCACGTCCTGTATCCTGTATGGTTTGAAAACTCTACAAGAAACATCCCTACGAATGCACATTTAAAAAAAATAAAATAATAATTAAAAAAAAAAATTAGAAATCTTGCTGAGTAAAATCTATGGACATTGGAAAGTCTGACTTGAGAAATTTTACTTCCTCTTTTCTCATCTAGTGAACAGGAACAGCATGTGTACGTGTTGCAAGATTTGTGCAAAATACGAATGCTCTTTATACCCTTAGACTGTAAAGGTTTAGAGAAGGGCATTTTAGGAGGATTTCTGGTAGTGTTCTGGGCTGCAAAGCTCAGATGAGCCCAGGAGAGGTAAAGGCTGCAAAGCCCGTGACCAGTTCAATGCACTGGCCTGTATTTCTGAACAAGTCCTTACGCATCTGAGAGCTGGGCAGCTTTTCAGACCCTCAATCATCGACAGACTCTGGCTGTAGCCATTATGAAGCAGCCACTAAGGCTGAGCCAGGCAGCTGCTTAACAGCAGTGTTACTGAGGAAGTGAACAGTCTGCACGTAGTGAGGATGTGCAAGTGGAGAAAACCTGCTGAGGAGGACACGCAGCACCTCTAGCTGCAACTCCTGGCTGCAGCCTCACTGGATGTCACTGTTGTGAATCTGGCAGCCCTTGGTGCCTGCTGCCTGGGCTGCTCAGGGGTTTCCATGAGGTGACACACAGGTCAGGGCAAGGTCTTCCCCTCATGAAATCCTGCAGGCCCCTTGGTGCACCTAAATAGCTCCCTTCCCCAGACAACCTGCTTGTCAGCCACAGCATCCTCCAGCTC